AGATAGATAGATAGATAGATAGATAGATAGATAGATAGATAGATAGATAGATAGATAATCACTGTTTGGTGTTATGCTATGATGGAAGAAAGCATAAAGGTAACAGCTGTTCTGCAAAATTTGCTGTTTCACCATCATTTGTTCTTTAGGAATAATAATAATAATAAAAAAGCTTACAGAGATAATGGTTGCAGCCTTTAGGATGCTCATATTTAAAATCAGTTTTGGTTTAAAACTGGGTTATTTTTACTTATTCAGTTTATACCTATCTTGCTCAAAACTGTTCTTTTTCAAAGATTCAGATTAAGTATTTATCCTATATTCATTATTCCATAAACTGATAAACCCTGATCTTAATGAAAAATCCATGATGTTAATATAAGTTGGCTTCTGTGTGCAATTCAAGGTGCATATGGTCTGGATACTGGAAGTACCACCTAACTCCAATTGCTTCTGCCTACCCAGTATGTTCCAGAAGAGTGGGTGTGCTCCAGGGCCTCTCCATTAAAATGTTGTCATCTTATGGGACTGTGGAAGTGTGCCTTCTCTGTCACACTCTCTGCCTTCTGGAACAGCATTCTCCCAGAGGTACAGGGGGTGCCCTCTCTCCTGGGATTCTGAAAAGCTCTTTAAGGCCTGTTTCTCAGGCCTGAGATTAATATGTTGTGGGGCCCCTCTTGTGACTCTTATTATGATGGTGGTTTTAGTCCGGGCTGTCAGCATTGTATATATTTTAAACTGTTTTTATTGTTTTGAGGTTTTGTAAGCCATCCTGACTCTACCAGAGAAAGGGACTATAACAAATTTAAAATAATAGTAATAGTAATAATATCATCTTGTTGAAGACATTGGATATTATCCTAGATTACTACTTTATAAATTTTAATTATAATGTTTTTATTACAAATTTAGATATGAGACTATATTAGAGGCTAGAATAGTATATAAGCTTTGATTTCAGTATAATGGTTATTGATGACTTCTTTCATTTCTGTCTTAAATCTACATATTTACTTATCATATTTCAAGGTCAAATATTATTTGTCATAGAATGGCATGCTGAAAGTATTAGGGTATAAATTTGTTTTCTCACACTATAAATATAGCTA